GTTTTTTTTTGGGGAGTTTTTCCTTATCCGCTGTGAGGGTCTTAAGGACAGAGGGATGTCGTATGCTGTAAAGCCCTGTGAGGCAAATTGTGATTTGTGATATTGGGCTTTATAAATAAAATTGAATTGAATTGAACTGATTGCGGCCGCTTTATTTTAAAAACATTGTATAATGGGGAAATTGGACTGTTTAAGCTAAATAAGAAGCTGTAATGGCAGACTGCCAGCGGTTAATGTCCCCGACAGGGTTTGTAGTCGTATTGAGCAACTTGTTAGCAACCGCCTTTTTTACGACAGGTAAAAGCTTCAAAATTCACAAGTAGGGTATTTACTGACGTGTTTTATGTCGTAGAACAAAACCTGAAACTCGCTTAAGCTTTTGTTAACCACAGACTTTATTTGAGGCATTTTACCAAAATCCCATTCAAAAAATGTATTGACTTTTAGACGAGAGAACCGGAAGTGCTAAAAGCGCTAACAGAGTTTCGGGTTTACTGACACACTCTATAGTCGTAATAGTACAGTATAGTATATACTGTATAGTACAGTAGTAATCCAGTATCTTTGGTTAGAGCAACAAACTGAATGACTGCTGACTCCCTCGCACTTTTCCCTGCCCCCAGTGTAATTTGATCTCTCGCAGCAGCAGCAGCAGCAGCAGACAGCTGAGCGGAGTTGCAGCCTCTGAGACAAACTAAACAAAACACTTGTAGGCTCCTCCACTTCATTTATAAACAAACATAAACCTTATTAAGTTGTCATAATGCATGTTACAATGCAAGATAAGTTGAATATAGTCCCTTGACACACCGCTGATGTGAAAAGCTCCCCCCCACCACCACCCGGTTTATGCGGTTGACCTGAATTAAACCGGGTGGAGTTCTTAAACCGGACCGAACTGGTTAAGCCTAGACCAAAGCCGTCTTTAATAGCTGACAGACCTAAATTTGTTAATTAATTTAACTGTTGTTGTTGTAACTTGTTGTTTGCTATTCTGTATTGCCATGATCTATTTTTTGCATGTTAGGTTACAGATATCTGAAGTGCCATGCTCCACGGTTGTCATAAAGAATATAAAGTGATAAAAATGTGTTTTACTCAAAGAGGAAGCAAAGTGTAACTGCAACTTCAGACTGGTGTATGCTCAGTCAAATCCTTGGTATCATCTTATGTTGGGAAAATACTCTGTGCATGTTTTCAATGTGCTTTAGAATACATTTCTCCTGGTTTTGTGCAGTAGCATTAACAATTGACATTTACGATTGAAGCCTGTAAGTCTTGTGTGACAGTTCTTTTCCCTCCAAGCCAGGCTCGGTCCGGGAGAGCTAATCTCTCTTTAGCAAACACACACGAACGTTATATCTTAGTTAACAATACCAAAAGCTTAGACAATAAGGTTGAGGTTAGGATGAGGCAGGGAGCTGTGGCACTGACATGAGTATACTCTGTATTAGGAGAGCAAGAGGTGTCAGGTTATAATTGCTGGTTTGTAAAACTGTATGAATATGATCGAATGCTACTAATCAGCTGGTAGCCGAGGTGCCCAATGAACAAGCCACTTATGGTAAAGCATGAATGAAGCGGCTGATTGCCAATTAGCAAATGAAACTACAGTGCTCAGCCTGACCTAAAGCAATGCTTTATTTATGTGACGTACCAAACGGATTTTGTGAACCAGAGACCACTGTTTGGATTACGCTGGGGGATCAGCTAGATTAAAAATGACCTGCATGCCCCAGTGTTGCAGAAGCTCAAGTGCTGTGTCCACAAGCTTGTCCCTCTACTCTGTCAAAACACAACGACTCTGCCATTCACAATAAAACTTTTTCTGGGGTGAGGCAAAAGGCTAGAAACCTTTGGTATGTAATCTTGGCCCTCTCTGCCAACAATCTCACCAAATGTGCAGCAATTTAAGTTGCCATATTTAAGTATTTTTGCAAAACCCGCATGCATTTAGATACACATACCTGCACTTTACTAACAAGGTGAATACTGGAGGGTTTTTCTGACATTGTTGCATAATGTCAACCTTAAAGAGGCTGTAAATGGCAATAAGAATGCAGTTGTTTTATATGCCAAACATGTGAGCACTTTAAATGTAAAAGCATCGAAAGTGCTACTTGTGATGCCTTCAATCGGAATAAGCCAACGGGGTTGAACGTACTTATCCTGACTGTCTGAGCACATGCAGGCAAATGCATTGTTCTAAGATGAAAAGATGAGGGGCAAAACCATCAGAGCTACATTAGAGGGTGAACCCAGTGTTAACAGAGCAGCATAACTATGGTGTCTCCTGCATAATAAAACGTATGACTCATCTCACAGTCAGTAAGCAAGTTACTGTAAATATGTTTAAGGGATTATTTCTTTGTGTCTTCTTCTCCAGGTAATGTGTTTGTGGTGAGTTTGGCCTTTGCTGACCTCGTGGTAGCCTTCTACCCCTACCCCTTGGTTCTCTATGCTCTCTTTCACGATGGATGGGCACTGGGAAACATACAATGCATGGTAAGACGGCATCAGTTAAAGCATGTTTCAGTTTTCTACCAATACAGCTCCAGTAAGCCAACACACTGACACAAACACTGTCTTGTTTTCTGTTCAGGTCAGCGGTTTCCTTATGGGGCTGAGTGTCATCGGTTCCATTTTCAACATCACTGGGATTGCAGTGAACAGATACTGCTACATCTGCCACTCATTCTCCTACAGTCGGCTGTACAGCTATCGCAACACTCTGCTGTTTGTTGCCTTAATTTGGGTGCTCACAGTTGTGGCAATTGTCCCCAATTTCTTCGTTGGCTCCCTGCGCTACGACCCGCGGGTGTACTCCTGCACCTTCGCCCAGAATGTCAGCAGTTCCTACACAGTGGCGGTAGTGGTGGTTCACTTCTTGGTTCCCATCGCAGTGGTCACCTTCTGTTATTTACGCATCTGGGTGCTTGTGATTCAGGTCAGTCTCCAGCTTCTCTATGCAGTTATTTACGTCTTTGCGGGCACACAGAAGGTATGAATGGAGGGAAGGGGCTATTCGAATAGTGTGATAATACCAACCAAATAAATCTGTAAACATGCCATCAACTGTAAATAATACAGGCACCCCTTGGGCCAAACAATAAACCATCAGCCTTCCAGGGTTCATTGAAATTGCACCTGTAACTGGGAAAATATGGTCACTCCAAGTTGTGAAATTTGGACCTTTATTTATATACTCTTTACTGGATGAGTCAGTGTGGTTTTTAAAGGATCAGTGTGTAAGATTTGGGGGGATTTAGTGGTGAGGATTGCACATTGCAATCAGCTGATACTTTATTTGATAAGAATTCCTTCAGGTGTTCATTGTTCAAGAGGCTTTTACTAGGAGCCGAATTATTCAAAGAGGTCTCTTCCTCTCCAAAACAAACAGACCAGGTGGTAAAAACTGTAAAAAAACAAAAAACAAAAAAAACAACAACCCTGAATTGAACGGTTTTACATTACAAATCAGTGTTTCTCTATGCTGTTCGGCACATCGCAGATGAGCCATTAGCCCAGCACCTGCTAATGCGTGCTCACCTTATTTCTGTACGGTCGTTCAAGAGGTTTTTACAGTGAGCCCGAATTATCCAAAGAGGTCTTCTCCCCTTAAAACAGATAGATCCTGTGATGTGAACCAGAAAAAATAAAGCACTTACATGTTACAAATCAACATTTATACAACACCAGTCAAAGACAGGCCAGTTGCTTAGCAGCTGCTAATGTGTGCTCACCTTTTTATGCCTCTGTAGCAGTGATAGCCATAGCTGGAGGCATTAGGTTTTCAGGTTGTCTCTCAGGCCTTTAAATTTGGCGCAAACATCCACTGATCAGAATTTGGTGATCAAAGGTCAAGGGTCAAGGTCACCGTGACTTGTCCATCTTATTCCCATGAACACGTTATGTCAAGAATGCCTTGAGGGAAGTTTTTTCAAATTTTCACATCCATTATTCACAGATGCACTGATTGGATTTTGGTGGTCAAAGGTCAAAGATCAGGGTCCCTGTGACCTCACAGAACACATTTTTTGCCACAAGTCAAGAATTCACACACTTATTCTGACTAAATGTCACACAAATGTCTCATACAATATAATGATAAATTGATGACATGTAACATTCAAAAGGTCAAATGTCAACTTCAATGTGACATCATAATGTTCAACAAAATCCCTCTAAATCCTACACCCTGGACCTTTAAATGCCAGAATACACTGACAAAATACATGATCCTATCCTTGAAATCTTTTTGCCATGTAACATTTGAGTTGAGCATTTTGATTTTTAATTATTAGTCAGAGTAGATTTAAAACGAACTGAACACAGCAAAGGTTTGGCAAAGACAGTTCTTGTGATTTCAGCTGAGATATCGTGTTTGACAGGTGGGTAGGTGGATGAGATCCCTGGAGTGCTTGTGTGTGAGGATATCTACATGGGTTTCTGTCTGTCTGTATGTGTGTAACACGGAGAGGCAGATACCAACAGTAGCATTCGCAGTTGAAATCTTATCTTGTGTATTTTTCTCCAGGTGCGACGTAAAGTGAAGACAGAGGAGAGCCCTCGCCTCAGACCAAGTGACTTGCGGAATTTCATCACCATGTTTGTGGTCTTTGTGCTCTTTGCCATCTGCTGGGCTCCGCTCAACCTGATTGGCTTGGCGGTGGCCATAGATCCGTCCCGTGTGGCTCCCCGTATCCCCGAGTGGCTTTTCGTGGTCAGCTACTTCATGGCCTACTTCAATAGCTGTCTCAACGCCATCATCTATGGCTTACTCAACAGGAATTTTAGGAACGAGTACAAACGCATTGTCACCTCCGTCTGGGTGACTCGGCTTTTTGTGACAGAGACTTCGCGAGCCGCCACAGACGGCAGGAGCATGAGGAGCAAGCAATCGCCGCCTCCGCCACTCAACAACAACGAGTCGGTCAGAGATCGTACAAACAAAGAATGAAATCTGAAACCTTTGAGCCTGTTAAGTGGTAATTCCTGTTTTTATGTGACATCCAGACGGTTGTGCAGCTAAAGAGTAACAAGTAACAGATGAAACTTGATTGCATGGCTCAGTTTTCTTTAAGTTCTTATTGATCAGAACTGGGCACAACATGTTTCTATCTGTGGAGAAATTTTTCTAATCATTTTTAAAGTTGTGAAGAACTACGTAATTACCTGCACAGAGGTTATGTTTTTTTGTTCAGTTTGTTTGTCAGCGGGATTATGGAAAAACTCCAGGCCCGATTTCCATTAAACTTGGTGCGAGGGTGTAGCATGGGCCAAGGTAGCACCCATTAAATTTTGGAGTGGATTCAAATCATGGGGCAGATACACAAATTCACTTTCATTAACATTGCGAGATAGGGCCTCCTTGGCGGAGGTCTGCCCTCTCTGGTGCCCTTCTAGTTAATATAATGAGTTCTGAGAGTTCATTGTTTGGTCCATTTTACCCAACAACTTTGCTAAAATGCTCAATCAGTATTCTCTGTGATTCTCAACCACTAAGCATCAACAGAGCAAACATTTTTAGAGATGTTGTTATGTCCTGGGAGGACAGAGCCATGCATTGCAGTTTCATTTTGCTTGTACTCTAAAAACAATCTGAATGGTACTTAAATATTTCTTAAAAAATGTAATATCCTTTAATGTCTGCTGCTTTAGACATATTTCACAAAATGGGGTAACCACTAGTAAACATACACCTCTTTTTAGTAACTTCAAAAGCCTCAAATAGTACAACTCGCCTCACCTGAATGCTACACTAGAAGAAGAGGAGACAGGGTTTGACGTGGTGACAGTAACGTGGTCAGTAGCATAAACTCCATGCTGCCTGCTTTCACCCTCTTGCACTGTTAAGACTGACAAAAAATACTTAGTAATTAATATAATATCCTACATTAATTCAGGAAATGAAGCTACTGATGGATGACACAAAGCAAGTCATGTTCAAATCCAGCACCACACCTTGTAGGAAGTGCCATTTAACATGGCTGCTTTAGTTTTTGAAAGTTCTGACACAAATGGTGCATGTGATGTAGCAGGTGGAGGACACCTACATATCTATTATTGCTGCTGTATTCATCATTCTGCATAACACCACACCACTAATTATACTTCTCAGCTGCTGCAGTTGGACCATTATGTAACTTTAATACTAATTTATAGGTCACTGTAGGCTGCATGCAAAGCCTCCCTAGTTATCATCTTTTAAATAAAAACAGTTTCCTACAACACGCAAAAGCATTGTGAGAAAAAAATGATCAGCCTATTTCCGAGACAGCTCTTCTAATTTGTATTTTCCCAAAATATTCTATTCATGTTTAATTGAACAATATTGATTCTTTTTTTGTTTTTTTCTACAGGAGTGTAACACGAGTTTTATACAGAGCACAAAAAGTATTTACAGTATACTGTACCATCCCTAAAGCACGGCTAGCCTATAGGCACACACCTTCAGAAACACAATAAATAAAATCCAATATATAGAAATGTTTAAACAATAACAGTTTGTAACCAAGACTATAAAATGTTGAGACGGGGCAACCCAGACAAGGAGACAAAATAAATGTTAATGTACTTTAAGCCTACAATGGAGGGCACAATTTTATTTACACAATTGGTGGAAAGTAACTAGGTACATTTACTCAACTCCTGTACTTGCAACACGTTCTCACTCCGACCTCATATATCAACATTTAGTCATGGACTTTCCACGTCCACATATGACGTGCAAGGTACCCTTGGTGCTTTGGTTGTTGACATTCTGGGACGCCGTGTCAAGTTCTGCATATTACGTGCATTGTAAGCAGTACAACAATGCAACTTGACTTTTTTTTGTGTAGGCAATAAAAACATGTGGTTAGGTTTAGGAAGAAAGAACAGGATTTGGCTTTGTAATCTTACAGGACACAAACACCGCCCTTCCAGGTGAAAGTCGTCGTTTGTACTTAAAGGATAATTCAGATCTTTGACGGGCTGTTAACGGCTACAGTTCCCCATCTATGCTTTCGTCAAACCCACCAGACTCCATTAAGAAAAACAGTCATTTTAGATCGCTGAACTCAGGAGCTGCTGGTATACCACTGCCTCAGTCAATTAGTTTGTTTGTGTTACTGTGTGACTTTTGGGAATCCGAACTAACCCTTGTACATGCATGTTCAGATTATGTTAAATTACTGTGTTTGTCAGTGGAATCTGGCTGTGAAGACAGTGATACAATGACTTCAATTCCCTGTCTGAAATCGCTGTCCGACGGTAAGGTGAAGGGGTTAGAATAGTCTGAATATAGCCTACATTTAAAATGATATTAATCCTTTTAGATGGGACTTTTTTAAGTGGCAAAATATGTTTTGCCGCTTCCCTTGTTCACATTGCTTAGCTTCTTTCACAATCTTTTTTGTGGCTAAGCAACTCATACAGCCCCACTTCAAAATATCTGAACTATCCCTTTAAGTACAATTTTTAGATGCTTGCACTAAGTTAAGTATATGTTGATGCTGACATCTTCACACAGTGAGAATACAACTCTTTAACATGTTAACAATACTGCAATGCAGTAATTTGTTCAATTTCAGAAAATAGCCAGGCGCACAGCACGGATGATTCTTTATGCACCCTAACACTTTGCTATGCAAATCCAAACACAGTGGTTGTCACAATTCAACATCAGCTGCATGTAAAAAATCATATCCCCTTAACTGAGATAGTCCCTGCATCCATATATTTTACTGATTCACTGTAAAATGATGCTGCTCTCCAGGCCACACAACAAGCCAACAAAAGGACTGAGATACACAGCAAGTTCAGGATGTTCTCCTGCCTTCTGTGTGAGAAAGCCTCCAGCCCCTCGAAAAAGGAAGTGGATAAATACATTCACTGAAAGTACAGCAAGCAATATAGAATGAGCATGGGTTCCTTTTGCGTCCTACATCATATGCAGAATTTGGTAGTCTCATGCAGTGGCGATTCTTACTCTTCATTCTGAACTACTTATGCAAAATTTGAGCTTTTTGTTTCAGATGTAATTTATCTTTATTAAGGTAGTTTATTTATTTTCTAATAAAACATATATTTAATTCACCAGGGACAAATTTGAAGCTTTCACTGTGGAAAAAAACAAACAAAAAAAGGTACATTAGGGGGAGTGTTAAGGAGTTGTACTGTCACTAGGTCATATTTAATCTGACAGAAGAGTGACTTTCATTGCCTCTTAACTGGATAGTGTGTCAAAAAATGTAGATTGTTGAGAAGGTACAGCTCATATCTGTATTCCCATCTCAGGGTGCCTACCGAACATTTTGTCGTATTACACAGTTGTCCGAAACATTTGCAGTGTATTAGCTGCCATATAAGGGAGCGTGAAGACATTTCAAAGGGATATTTTGTAAATTAGTGTCAGTGTGGTTTTTAACTGTGGTATATTGTTAATGGCGATGTATTCAAAATGTGTTTTTTTTTATATATGTGAAGCTCAATAACCCCACGCAATTAACAGGTTATTCCCAGATAATGCTTAACCTCCCTTTCCATTAACTCTACTACAGTTGCAAAGTGCATCTAAAACAACCTCTGGCTTAGTTGGCATGTACATCGCATCACTACATATATTTGCTTTTCAGTGTGGAGTGATGGAATCAACTTCTAATTGCACAAATATCCAAGAATGACGTTCGACATTCATAATTTTAATGGTTTTGGTTGGTTGTTTTTTTACACATTTAAATTCATTGCACATTTGTGTGTTCTTATACAGGGTAAAAAATGTGCAAAGCCATAAATCAAGAATGGTAACAGATGCAAAGCTCAAAGTCGTACTATAAATATTCATGGGATAGGACAGATGCGAGAGCTTTGCAAGCAGAGGAGAAATATTTGGAAGCAAACAATGACATTTGCCGTGCAGAGGAGGGTAGAAATCAGTGGTACATAAAGTTTTCATTTAAGAGATGGGATTTAGATCAATAAAGGGAGTGACTACGCGCTCCTGACAAGAGAGGTGAGAAGGTCATTCCACCACTGGGAATGCAGGAGTGGTATCCAGGTTGCCGCGGGGAAGGAAGAGCTGAACAGCAACACACACACACATACACACACTCAAAAAGATGTTGTTAGAGTGCAGAGAAAACGAATGCTCAGACATCTGGAGAGTGTTTTAGATGCACTTGGAGGGATGCAAAGACATTTAAACACTTTAAACCAAAGAAACGGGCATAGCTGAAGGACATTAGGTGTACAAACACTTTGTTGAGTTATTGCTGGGGGAAATCGTATAAACACCTTGGGTCCTTTGAGGTCTTTTTTTCATTCAAAAGTACTGCCTTACAGTTAACACAATAGTGTCAAATTTTGAATATCATGGCAAGTGCCATATTTTCTATTAACAACAAACCCATTCAGCAAACCTAGTTCACCTCCATACTGCTTCTTTTTATGTATTCAGGACAGTCATCTATAGAAAGTTTTCTCTTCAACATCCCACAGAAGTTCACACGCATGCCTCGGGCGGGGGACTCAATTGCCGAAACAGAAGAACAAATATTATCTTTTTCTCCTTTGTGTTTTCTTTCTATACACCCCTCAGCGACATTATGTAACCATGTTCATTTGTGTTCCCTATGCTCACTGTTGGCACCCTTACTTTGGGCCTTTTTCTCCATGTGACCAAATATGACACCTTGCTCGTCAGCTTAAAGGACAGATTCGCACACCATTTTTTTGTGCAGCACAACCTCACAGCTTTAAAACTAACCACTCTGCTGCAATTTCTCACTGGGCTTTAACACAGAATAATATTTAGTCTTCCAAATCTTATGATGAATCTTGTTTTCAAAATTGGAAAGCTGGCAATATTAAAATGTTTTCTTTCTGAAAAACATGTTCATAAAACCACTTTTTATTAGTTTTATAAACTGGATTTGAAAAAACCTCCAGCTTTTGGGTGTAAGTTAATAAAACCTGAAAGAAAGCAGAGTTTGGGACGTTATTTCATTCTCTGCCACATAAATACAATGCGGCAAGCTTCCTATTTTCAAAAAGGAAATGTATCCTGGTGTTTGACTGCCATGTTGGAGTGTTTTTACACCAGGTGAGATACCGCAGAGGAGTGTCAAGTTAGTTTCTCACAACAGAAGCTACAGGTGTGCTATGTTTGATTGTAACTGAGGCAAAAAAAGAAAAAAAAAAAAAAACATGTTAATTTCTGAGTCAAAAAAGCTGTGAACCTATGTTGATTTTTAGTGTGAATTGAAAAAGCAACATATATATTAAATGGTGTAAATACAATTCTGCCTTTGAAATAAACACACAAGGAAAGTAAGCAGTGAAGGTTATCACAATGTTTTTTTATTGGAAGATGAAAGCTAAGGTTTCTGCAGTATGTACTACTAATCCTTTTGAGTGCTGTTCTCAATGAGGCGACACACTCTTAAATTTGTGCATTATGCCGTTTGGAGTCTCTCTTGCACCCTCACCCAACATCCGGCACAGTATTCATGCAGGGTCGACATTTTCCCTAAAAGAGGCATTCCCTGATATTTCTCACTTTCTGACTTTTCTTTTCTGCCGTGTGATCTTTTGGAGAAAAAGCAGCATGCGGGTGAAGCAGCCACTTTGCATTTGAAAAGGCTTGTATTCGATAGCTGCTATAAACACAGTCACCTCATTTGACTTACGGATGCAGTTAGTAATTACAGGCCATAGATCACAAAATATTCCCAAATGATAGAACCTTGATGGCATACAGTGATGTGCTCATTAAGTCTGTTGCTCATCAAGGCTTTGGTGCGATTTGAAATACGTAGCTTTTTGATCAGTGTTACTGTCTGCTATGCAGAAACCTGGCGACCTTGTAAGCAGGTGTAAGAGATTATTTAGACATTCTCCTCGGGGCTCTCAACAGCTCGGAGCCTGAATGGCACAATTTAGACTTGAAGTAGCCTCATTGTTCCTTATTTTCATCCGGACATACTCACCATACAGTAGCCAGTTTTCTTTTCTTTTTGTGTCATTGATGGGTTATGTAACAGCCTGACAACATCATCCCACAGCTAAAGGCAAAAAAGGATGCAACACTGATCAAATTATGTGCAAGGTACCTTCACTCAGATGAAAATAAAATGACAAGCCTTGGGAACATAATTGAATGCACTTACTGTCACATGTAGTGCGTTGACAAACAACAGAAAAAGGGGGAAACGCAGCTGTGTATGCACCTCCTATAGTGTTTACAGGCCGGAAACCAATCCATACATTTAAAACCGTGACTACAAAAACATGAATGAAAAAACTATTATAATGTTTGCAAAGCACAAATCCATTTCACCTGAGAAATATTTACACTCAATGGCCACTTAATTGGCTGCAGCTCGTGAGACGTGCAAGGATCTTTGCCCGCAGCGTTAATCCTTTGAGGCATGAATCAAATCATAGGTTGGAAATGTTACACAATGAACCTGTTCAAGCTGTTATTTGGTGTAAAGAGGCACCAGATTAAACAGGACAATAGAATTTTGTTTTTAAACATGAGCAAGGTTGGAAATTGGTGACTGAACTTTAAGATGCTTAGCCAGTCGACTACTCATGTCTTGATAAGTGTCTTCTGTTCCACAGGCTGTGTGAATGTGCATGCTTGTCTGATGTTATTTATGGAGGTGGCGCTCACTGACAAGAATTCAACAGGTGCAGGCCGTGGTGTCCGAGTAACTAGAGGGAAATCTGTGGAATGTAATG